TGGATTTCCAATTTATCAGCATATACATTGCCGCAACCTTCAAAACAAGATCTTCGGAGATTTCCTCACAATTTCATCGGAAAAAGAACAACATCGTTCTTGAATAGTGCTCTACTCTGACAAGGGAGGAATACTTGTCGAAGTGGCTTTTCCACATTAAATGTAAACTGTATTGTAGAACATACAACGCTGATTTTGAATCTGCTTTCGACTGCAATGCGCATCTGACAAGGAGGACCCAAACTCAAATCGGCTTTCGAAATAGAATATATGCCAGTTTGTAGAGCATGAAAAGCTGATTCCAAAACTGTCTTTGTTTTTTGCCAAGCGCCTATAATCGCTGAGTTCTGAGTGTTTTTTGGAACGAAAAAGATCAGCAAAAGCTGGGTAAAATCAATGGTTATGTTCTTTCCAGCGCTCAAACGAAGGAGTGCTAATTACTAATATTTGGATAGAAGGATTTCCAGGCATAAGGTGCCTCTAATACCCAACGCTGGACCATTTGCGTAATGTTGGATGAATTTGCATCAATTGCACGTTCAATTTTTTGGAACAAAAACGCCCATAACTCAGCGTTTAGAGGCGCTTGGCAGATAACAAAGACAGTTTTGGTATCAGCGTTTGATGCTGTGCAAACTGGTGTATAATTCATGTGGAAAGCCGATTTCGATTTTGGGTCCTCCCGTGAGCGGGAAGTTGTGGGACTTTTTAGAGCAAAAATTTACGCGTGGCTAAAGTAAAATAAAATTATTTGGAAGCGTAACCTCAAGCCTCAAATGGGGCCATATTACTGCCAAGGCGTTTTAAAGGCAGTGTCCAAGGTGAGGGTTTTGGGACTTCAGTGCCATGCGAAAGTGCCCCCCCCCCCCCTATGATAAAACATTGCACAAGTGCGAGGTAACAACGTTCGACCCAAAGCAACAAAAACGATCGGAAAGTGGGGAAACTTACGCCCTGGGGCGGGGGTCCTCCGAGCTGTTTGAGTTCCTGCTAGGCGGCAGAGTACCCATGCTGCCACAGTTAAAATCGTAGGATCCCGCAGCGAATCTGCGTGTTTGGCGCGGATCGCCGAATTTCGAATTGTAAGGCTTTGAAAAACGCACATACTCGCCGTTTTCGCGCCTTCTAATGTGGGTTTTCAGATTCAGCGTTGCGGATAACCCTCGGTAGGTAGATTTTCTAAAAATCGAGTTTTTGCCCGGACACTACTTCAAAGCAGTCAATAGTCAATACCTTCAGTCTATTGAATTTAAGGCAGTCACTAATCCTCAGAAGCGCCGGAAAGACCTAACCCGCTTTTACCATAAAAAGCCCTTAAATTTTACCCTTGACAAATTTCCATAACTGCTCTCACAGAAGCGATTTGCAGGTAATGAAAGCATATTGGAATCAGAGTTCCATTCTCTACTTTATGCTCTCCTCTAGTTCGTGCTCTCTGCAGTAAATACTTCATTTGACAACTTTACTTCGACCAAGCTCCTTTTGCGGGCGTCACTGTACAGCATCTTTCCACAATGTCATTTTTGCACTCTCGGTCACACATATGGGAGAAAAAATGAATTCATGTCGAGCAAGAGCTCTCAAAAGCGAGAATTCTGAGGATTTTTACAAAATCTGGCGGAAAATGGATACAGCGGTGAGAACAAACGAATTCAAGCAAAGAACTGCCTTCAGAAGTGGGATTTTCGGGGATTTTTTCAAAATTTAACTGGAAAGTGGTATATCTCGTTATAAAATAGTTTCACTGTGAGGATCACTGTACAGCTTCCTTCCACAATATCATTCTCGCACTCTCGCTCACATATGGGGAGAAAAATTGAGTTCGCATACAGCAAAAGCACTCATAAGCGAGGATTTTGGGGATTTTCACAAAATTTGGGCGGAGTGGATTATATCATGCTAAAACAGTGCTCTGCTCTGAGAATCACTGTACAGCTTCCTTCCACAACATCACTCTCGCACTCTCGCTCACATATAGGCGAGAAAAATTGAATTTGCTTAAAGCAAGGGCACTCATAAGCGAGGATCTTGGGGATTTTCACAAAATTTGGGCGGAAAGTGGATCATATCGCTAAAATACAGCAGCAGAGTGTGCAATAGCTGTGATGATGAAAAACGTAGGTCCTAGCGCGAACGAGAGCGCACCCTGCGTGTCGTGAGCTCTCGTTCGCACCAGGACCTCTGCGTCCTCTTGTGCTCATCATTGCACCGTCGCGCTCTCTCAACGTTTAGGTACCGTTCTGTCTCTGGCGCCTATTCAAAACAAACGCTAAAGCCATACAGTGAGCGCACCATTCTAGCCGTCTCGTGTTTTTGGAACGAGTTTATATTATAGGAGAGGGATATACACTGGCAGGTCCGCTCGAGGCCGGGCCTGCTACCCTTTGATTCATTTGGCTTGGTTTCTGGAAGGCGGAGCTTTGTGATCTAGTTGAGGCAGGTAATGACCAGAGAGCACGCGTACGAGAGAGACGCAGACTCGCGGGCGCGAGCGGCCTCAATTGGATCACAAAGTTCCGCCTTCCAGGAGCCAAGGTGGTTTTGGTGGGTACCAAGTGATTAGGGGTAGACGAGGTTGTGCAATATAGATTTATTCGCACGAGCGTAGATTAGTCGTGAAGAAGAGTGAGGTGTCCCGGTGTGGACCGGGGAGCAACCTCCAATACATTCGGTGGCTCCTTATATACGAAGGAAGGCGGAGCTGAACCGAGTACAGGGTACAATGTACAGGAGTTGGTGCTTGAATGGAGATGCCGCCGATTGGCTACACTCCTGGCGCACGGGTACCACTCACTCTTGAGTGATTAGATACTCAAGAGTGAGTAGCTCACAGTTTAGCCTACGGAGATTCCGTAGGCTATCTAAAACATAGAGTTCATTGGTTGATGATACAGAAATCATCAACAGTGGTTATATCAAAGGTTAGCTAAATTGCAGAAAATAAGTGTTGTACTGTAATATTGTTTTCTATTCAGCAACATCGAACATGGTGACCAAAAGGCTGCAAGCTTTGCTTTGATCGCGTCAGATAAAAAGTATTGGTGTCGGATTTTGTTGAAGCAGGGTCAAGCGTGTTGATGCGATCCGGAACCCTCATTTACGACCCCCCTTGGGATATCCATCCGTAGGACCCCCCCCCCTCCCCCTCCCCCCTCCCCTCCCACCCTCACCCATTTATCCCCCTTATTTCTCCTGCCCACTTTCCTCGCGGTAACCTGCATAAACCAATGTCAATCTCAAAAAACACCTGCGTGAGAACTTCAGTGAGGCTTCGGAAGCAGAGTTTCTAGGCCAGTGGGTGCGTCCATCATCTGTAGCACACATACACACCTTCAATAATGTTTGAGAATCTGCAAGTTTTTTTTTGAATTTTCAGGCATACTTCAGGCCTGCAAATTCGATTCCCGCAGGCGACACAAATTTTTGCACGGAGAAAAAATGACATTCTTGAACTACAAATGATGATTTCGACTAAGAAGCTTACTTCCTACCTCTTCCACAATTTTTCCCGCGAAAAGAATAGCTTGAGCGCCGTCCAGAACGACGTCAAAAACGTGCATGAGCACGATAGTTTGAAAATTTGTAACTAAGGCCAGGAAAAGACTGAGAGGTTGCAAAGCACAGGTTCTGTAGCATAGTTCCCAGACTTCCAAAGGAAAAGTTTTCAGCTCTTGAGGAGCAGTAAGCTCGAAAAAATTTAGATGCGACTCTCGCAAATTTAGATGCGATCCTAAAAAGCAAAAACTGGGATTTTTAAACTAAAAATTTTGTAACTTATCAGAGAAGTTATAAAACAGCCTGCAATTTTTATGAGGGAAAATAGGAGGATGGCCTCTTACAGCAAAATTCAGCCAACAAGCTTCAATAGCTCCGAAGAAATTTAGATGCAACCCAGATACGACCCTCCTTTCCTCCCTTTTTGTTACATACATAAAATCATAAGAAAATCCACAGTTCACAAAATAACACCAGGTTTCGTACAGTAATAGTAGAGCTTATTCAAAGTACATATAAATTGTAAGGGCCGTATGAATTGCATTAAAAAATTTACGAATTATTGATTGTCATCGTTGATCTAGATGTGCGCTTTTGTCGAGTGTGTGAGGCTTCAAAGGGTATATCGTTTTTGACGACAAATTGCGACGTTTTTTTAGTTGACGTTTCGTTTTTTGGGGTTTTTTACGTTTAGGGTTTAGAATCAAAGGGGACTTCGTAAAAGTTAGCAAAAATCAAGGAGGACTTCGTTTTGAAAATTCCCTGGTGCCAGTTCGTGCCGAACCCTTTCAGGGAAATATATTCGTTGAAACTCGAAAAGTTCCTCATATCTGTACGCTCATAACTCCTTCCAGGTAGTCACTTGACAGCTAAAAAAAATATTTGAAATTAGCTTTTTAAGACGAGTCCATGGTATATAGCTTGTTTGGAACAGCTGGGTTACGTTCTGACCATTTCCTCGTAAACGTGTTTCTGATAAGAGCAAATGATGTGTTTGAATCATGATAACAATTAACCACAAGCCGAAAGGTCAAAAGTTGGGGTTTGTCGAAACATTCGATATTTCCAAAACTCATTTGTACTTATCGGCAACATGCTTAGCACTGTTGGGTTAGACGAACAGTACCACTTTGGATAGTTTTCGTTGAATTCCAAGATTAAAAACGACCTTCAAGAAAAGACGGTCGGCCACCGGGGATTATTAGGGGATCACCCAAAAAGCTGAAAAATGCGGTTTGTACAGCTTCTTGCCCTTGTTCAATATGTTAATACTGAAGGATGCTGGGAATGCTTACGGATAGATAGACAGCGTGAAGTCCAGATATTCGGAGCTTCAAGATTTGAAGCTTTCTTCTAAGCTGCGATCCCACTTTCGCGCCAATGTTGATGCATGGGCCTAAGTCTAACCAGTTTTTACGTAATACTTCGCATGCGCTAGAAAATTATCTCCATACTTTGGCTAGGAAAAGCAAATCTTTTACACACATCCTACAATATGTAAGGTCTTTATTGGGAATTGCACAAATTGATGCTCCTTAATTTCCGGTGTACACTTTTGTTCTATTTCTCATATACATGGCACAATAACTGTTGCACACGTATTTCCTGGTCTTTGCGTTGAAAATGAGTTTCCTTGCCTTTTTCTGAAAATATTCACGTAAAGCAAAAATTATTCATGTACAATAGTTGTGCAGATAATCATAACAATTTGTTTTCTTAGAAAGAGTAGTACTTTCAGAGAAAAACTTCATTCTTCCACAACTTCATCTTCATGTAAATCACAAAGGATTAAACCAAGATCACCGTGGCCTTTGCGATAAGATGTATATAAAAACCGTCGTGTCGTTTTAAAAAGTTGACCACAAATCTATGCTCGCTATCTACAAATCGGTTTTCTGAATCGAAGGAGTTATGCAAATTTTTTCCAATTTTTTTGATGACAAAGTTGAGCTATTGCCGGAGGTTAATAGGCATTGCAAAATCTCCTTTTCTCCTTTTTCACTATATCAGCAATTAGTCTGATTACGATACAAATCATCAATGATCACTAACCTGGAACCCGCAACAGCCCTACAGCGATGGTTTCCGCTCGTACCAAAGGAATTTCATTAGAAAATATTTATAAACTTCTTAAAAGGCTTTGCTGGTAGCGAATGCAGATTTGAGATACACCATTTGATTCAACTGGCTTGGCTTCGGAAAGGCGGGGCTCCGTGACCTAATACGGCTAGCTAGTGATCAGAGAGCACCGGAGCGAGAGAGACGCAGGTGCGTCGCGGGCGCGAGCTGCCTTAATTACTTCACAAAGCCCCGCCTTGGCGAAGCCAGTTGAATCAAAGGCTAAATGTCATAAAAAAGATCATGGTGCTTTCGGTTACTTCCCTTCTCAGTATCCATTTATCATGGTACAATCTCTCGCCACTGTGTCACCAAAAACAAGATGAAATTCTGGTAGACAAAGGAAGGTTGTGATTTCTACGAAATACCGCTTTAATTTGTTGAAAAAGGACCGAACTCCACAGGGACTTTGCCGAAATCAGCGCCGCAACGTCATATCTTGGTAGAATGAACAATTTCTAAATCCAAGTGTAATCTTCGATTCAGGTCAACAAGACGCATCTTTTTTTGTGTTAATGTGCCTGTCTGGATACAGCAAGTACACGATAGGGCATACTTTATTAACTGGTTTATGCTTACGGTAGGTTACTCATTTAGTGTGACTATTCAGTGTGCTTTGAGTAAGCCATAGGCAAATCTACGAAATATGACCGCCCATCATCAGGGCTTGGCACAAAGACGAAGTGCCGTTTGAGTCTTGCGAATTTTTACGAAGTCCCCTTTGACCCTAAACTACAAGCCACCTGTTGCGAGTTCTGCCCGCCGATCTAGACTGGCAGTGTATTTAAAGATGTACCACACCGAGCTAAGTATCTCGACTTCACAAACTGCCCATAGTGGTTGTAGGCTGAACGCTCGCGAACGTCTTTGGCGCATAGCTAAATCAGTGTCCAGCGGGCTATATTGGCGCTTATTATGCTGTCGGCGGCAGCACGCGCCACGCTCGCAGACGTTCAGCCTACAGCGATATGGGCGGTTTTGTGCAGCAAAGTTTAGAATGTTGCCTTTGGATTCAGAATTTTTTTTACTGGAACCCAAGACATGGCGATGCGACGAGTTCAATTGGAACAATGCTGTTTTTGACGTATGAGCGGTAATGTACTTTATTTGACGTCACGCAAAAACGCACAAAATAAGGCTACCACTACTGATGTTCTCAACTTGTAGAAAATTGAAAATAGACTTGTTACTAAAGTTAGCTACATGGCTCTTCTCTTTGCAAAAAACTACTCTGCTATGACTTCAACAAAAGTTAAAAGTTGGAAATTAAATAGAATGATGCTCACCTTTTCCACTTTCCTCGCCGTTTCTTCACATACTTTGGCGCACTGCGTAAGAAACCCAGGTTTGTCCTTACGGGTAACTCTCATCGTGATAGGGACCGGAATAATACTGAAGAAGAAAAGGGGAAGAATGAATACAAGGTAATCCATTTTTTATAAAATGACGAACGCAGCTTATTTATACCATCAGTTCCATGATCAGCTAAATGATCAATGTATTTTGCATATAGGCTAAATTATAGCGAATCATTGCTAGTGCGGCATACATGCTACCTTTCACAATACATTCGGGCTCACACATTGCCTTGCCATTACAACTGGGAGGAGAACAGAGCCAGAGAGCGTAGGGTCTTTCAAAATCTACTTTTTCTACTATAGGAAGGGGGAGGAGGGAAATTCGCCCACCAAAGTATATGAATTGTTCCACGTGAAGAGAATTGAACACGTGCAATCGGAACTATAATTCGCTTATTCTTCAAGGGCGATGATACTTTTTTATTTCTCACAAAGCGTAATATCAGTTATAGAGAAAGAGAGATAAAGACTATGTTTTGTGCTGGAACGCGACTTTCCCATAGGCAGCTATGGCGGTATCCTTTATTCTACCCACTAAGGCCCGCATGCACGTACATCCCCGCGGGGAGTGGAGGGGATCTGAGAGGGGAAGCGCCATATCTCACTGCTCTAAATATCTTTCTTCCTTCTTCTCTATTTTGCTTATAAAGGTTCTCATACCCTTATACCTGCGCATAATGGATGCCAGGTTACTGCTGTGCAAGATTGAATATTCGCTATTTCTTCCGATCCCCTGGGGATCCTCAGGGGACCAACTCACATTTTCAAAGTCTTTAATCTTCCTGAAAATTCAATCAAAACACTGTAAACTTGTACTGAAGATATATTACGATACTGCTGAGCATGTTTCCGACAGAACAAATGGAATCTGAAGATTTTGATTTTTTCGATAATCCCTGGCTCGCGAGCAGCGGTTCATCGAAGATTTTGATATCTTGAGATTTCACTCATTTCTAGCATAAACATGTTTAGCAGTGCTGTTGTATATCCACAGTACAATTTTGCAGCGTTTTCATCGATCTTTCAGGAAGATAAATGACTTTGAAAATGTGAGATGATCCCCTGGGGATCCCCAGGGGATCAGACGAAATAGTGAATATCTAATCTTGTATGGCAGTATCCTGGCATCTGTTATGCGCAAGTATCAGTGTATGAGAACCTTCAAAACCAAGACAGAGAAATAAGAAGAAAGATACATAGACTGGCGAGATATGACGCTTCCCCTCTCAGATCCCCTCCCCTCCCCGCGGGGATGTACGTGCATACGGGCCTAAATTAGGTTGACAAGCAAATCTTGCACCTAAATCGCTGCAAATCATAACATTTTTCCAATCATTTCTGAATGTGATGTTTCGGAGAAGAAGAATTATACGCTTTTTATTGGCCTTCAAGAAATAATTGTTGTTACACAGCGACAATGAAAGCTAATAAAAGCAAATAAAACTGTGCATTTTGGAACGGTCGCTGAAAACGCCAAAGTGTCCAATTAATTCTGGTTTTATTTTCGTTTTTGCTTTTACAGCCTATCCCTTCATGGAAAACTCGATCACCAAGAAAAATTTATGATGACCGGATTTTTTCCGTAAATTGTCTTTTCAATACGATTTCGTATTGAACGTATGTCTGTACAAATAGTTAAGAATTCAAATTTTTTATTAGGCTTTGGATTCTGTCTCAAACTATCTAATACGTACTTCTACTACATTTGCAACACTTCAAAAGTTAGAATTTATAGGTAGAGTGCCGGAAAAGTACCGTCCCTCAAAATAAAACAATGCGTGATTTCCAGGTTCTAAAGTAAATTCGACATAATTTGCAAGATAAATATTATACATTCTAGCATTTTACAAAAACTGATTTAGAATTTAGACGGTTTGATAGACAATTTGCAGGCTCAGTAGTTCAGACAGAACAATGCAATCAGTTTTTCCATTCTTCAAAGAAAAATCTCGAAATATCATATCGAGGATGCTTCTGAGTAGCAACAGTGCATATTGAACATATCTGCATCAATCTCGTCTCATTTTCTAATGCAAATTCGTCAAATAAAGTTCTTATATACCGTGAAAACTAAATCACTGTAGATAAGAGTTTATTTTGGATCTGCCCAATGTAAGGATAGTTTTTGAGGATTTTATTCCAACGATTAAAAAGGCTTGAGTATGGGTCAAATAGAGCAATTGCCGGATTACAAACGACATTTTTAGATTCTCCTAATCTGCTGTTTTTAGCTTCGAAATTATTCTTCGGAGGTCTCAATTTTTGGCAAAGTCATGGAACACGCAACTGCAGCAAATACAAGGAAGCTTTTAAGTTTCTGTGAATTGGAACATAATTTTTATTAAACATTATAAATCAACATAACCGAGTGGTTTGCTTTGAAAAAGCGGCTTTTGGAAATTTTCGGTACTTTTACGTAATGAAGGTTATCAAAAAGCCGCGGTTTTTATAATATAAGTAATTTTAACGGGCTAGTAAACGTGGACCATGTAATCTAAATTGGGTACAATGTAGCCAAAGGTTTGCTTTACATAACAGTTACAAGCGCTCTCTGAGAAATCAAGACAAAATTATTCAAAATTCAAAATATAGCGTTACTGCTGAGCTGCTCAGAAAGCCATGGCGATAACATTGCAAAAACAGGGTAGATCAGGGAGCAAATATAGCTGTAAGAAAGAGGATGAAAATGCAAATCAGACGGTGCCCTAGTCGTCCGTAGATTGGTAATCTTTGAGTTTTAGTGAGCGATGAAAAAAAACGGACAGAACTTTCGAGAAAAGTGCTATGTTCCCAAGTTTCCCTAACTGCGCTCAACAAAATTTTAATCTTGTTTTCCATACGTTGTTTTCTGAATGCATTTTTCAAAGCGACGAGCTGCTCGTCCATCACTCGGCATTCGACCTCAACTGAATTTCGTTAATTGCAGCCACTGCTCTTTGTCTTCCTCTCAACTCCTCGACTTGCTTTGTTGCTTTGAGAGCCTGCCAAAAAATCAGTTTTACCCCAGGGCGAGCAAGAATTTTGGAGAGACAAGTTCCTCTTTCAAATAGTTTAAATTGTTCATTTCTTTGCTTTACATATAAGTCTGAGTTGTTTACGAGTAAACAACTCCATCTGCAGCCTGATCGTATTTCATATGCAAATCGTTCTGTTTGACCACATAAGACTTTATGGAACTGACTCTCCCCTAAAAAGCAAACTACCTAATTTTACTCACTGCTTCAATTTGTACAAGCAACAATGACTTTTCTTCCCATTGCTGCGAACAGCCAGAAGAAAAAATCAGCTGAAAGCTGCGTACCATAACCATAAATAATGTGACCTAAGAATTTATATAAGCTTGTACATATTTGTAAGATTGCAATATAAATCTTGCTTATTCCACCCCTTGTTTTCTTATCCCCATCCTAGGAATAATTCGTGAAGCGTCTCGCTTACTTTTATCACACTTTCACTTATCAGGAAATCACAACTTTGGAGCATTTGGTTTTTTCGTCGAGGCGAATGGAAGAAAAATATGTAACTGCCTGGAAATCTTGAACATTTCATTTATCAAACAATTTGCTCATTCTGTACAAGAAGGAGATTATAAAGGAAGCTCTGTGCTTATCATTTCCAGTGCCCATCCATGTGCATACAGGTTTCTTTTAAACAAGAGGACCTTTATCAGACGAAGTAGCCTTTTCATACGAAGCCTATACGACTTTGTGGAGCATTGAACGTTGATTCCAAATCCGTCTTCCTTTTGCGGATCAGCTCTTCGAAAGAAGTTATGAGTGTTTGAAAGTCTAAATTTGTCAAGCCTTAAAGGCAGTACATTGGCAGAATGAGACCCGTGACAAAACAAGTTCGCAGGGTAGGCGCTGATTCCAAATCGGCTTTTCTTTTCTGCGTAATAAGTTTCCTAAGGAAGTTATGAGCGTTTGAATGTCCATAATCGCCGAGCATTGAGTGACTTAAGATCAGCGAAAAGCTCTAAAACAATACCTGTGCAAATCCCACCGGCTTTATTCCTTCCTTGCAAACAATATACTCGATACAAAACTGATTTTTCACCTTTCGGCGTTTTTGTACAGTTTTTCGCCAAATTTTAGGCCACTTAAACCTTGACAAATTTGGACGTTCAAATGCCCACAATTTTTCTCGGAAACTCATTCCGCAAAAAAAGGAAAACAGATATGGAGTCAGTGTTCAAAGACGCGTCTAATAATATACATCTCATCTTCAATTGCCTACTAATGTTGGTATCCTTCTCTTGTAAGACAATTTCATGCTAATCGTATTTTACTGACGAAGCGATCAAAATAGAATTTCTTGTATCTTATATAAATGTGAATGTTTGTTTGTATGTGTGTGTCTGTGTGCTTGTGTGTGTCTGTTTATACGTATTTCTGAATAGAAACTTTTATTTCTGAAACGATCAGGACCAAACTTTGCACACATACACTTCGAAGGGGCGGGTGTCGTAGGCTACTTTTCGTCATCGATCGGTGTCAATTTTATCGATTTTATGGTTTTTTTTTTGAAGTATAGCCTGCGGGGCTAGAAGTTGGCATAGCGGGGTAATCGAAAATACAGATTACGTATACAATACTATTAAGCTGTCCCAAAAGTAAACCCCATTTTTAAATACCTTGAGCTGTTTTTGTTTTTTGACAGATTTAGGGTACCGTTCGGTAGAGCGGAGCAAGCTCTACAAAAAGACTACCAAAGATTCACCTAATTCGTAAACCCGGTGAAATTTGGAGCCAAAAATCAAAAGTTTTCAGCTACCCTAAAAGTCGGATCTCCTTCCAAAAATTTCCTACGAACTTCCAGCTTGGCCTTTATATAGTAGACACATAGTAGTACCAAAAATGTATTTGGTAGATTTTTTTCGGGGCTCAAAATTGAGAAACTATGGTGGTCCCAAAATGCCCCTTCTATCGGGTTTTTTATGTAGATCTTGACATTTCTCGATTATAGGAGCAAATACAGGGGTGAAGAGGTTTGAACTTAGTAAGGCTTGCAGTATGCAATGGCATATATGAGAGGGACTGGGAGTGGAATTTGCCATTGGACTATCTTTGATTTCTCGCCTTCTAAGCGCGGAAAAAACCAGTAAGAGCATATTTGAGTACTACTGTTGCCTACTGTATAATGACCAAGTTGGAGATCCGTAGGGCTTTTCTTCGCAAAAATTCAATTTTCAAGTAACAAGTTTTTTTTTCGATTTTGGCTTCAAACTTTTGCATGAAAGGCAATTTAGGCGGACCTTTGGCGGTCGTTTTGTAGAGCTTGATCTGCTCTATAGAATGACACCCCGAATAAACGAAACAAAAACAGCTTGAATTATTTGAAACCAGTGCGTCACTTCTGCTTCGCAGAGGCTCGCACTGGCTGTACTATCTATGTGCCTTGCTCATGCTCGTAAAATCTTCTCACTGGAACTCACCGCGCTATGCCAACTACCACGAATAAGATGTAAACAACTACTCATTTAGAAAGTTTTTTTTCACGTGAGTTCGCTGTCTGTTTTCGCGTGGATGAAACTTTTCGCAGGAAGGCAAACGCAAATCTAGGGCAGTGTGCATCAATCTCCCGTTTTGAAAACGGGCGATCATTTTCAATAGAAATCATACATTACGGGTCCCCGGCAGGGCGATCATTTTCTATCGATTGATGCATACTGTCTCTGGATAGTTTTTTGAATTTGTCGTGGCTAGGTAGTCGCATAAAGGCCATCTCTGTGCGAAAATCTTCTCAAATGCTTGGCTAGAACAAATTCATTCACGAAACCAATTCTTTTTGGCGCCGTTTTCGTCATATAGTAAACCATTGACCACTTTTCAGGCTAAAGTCCATCGCTCGCACATTTGCTTACCAAACACATCCACGACTTTGCAAAAAGTGGTGATACTGACCTAATTTTGCTTGACAGAAGCCAGGTGGTTCCGTTTGGCGCGCAATTTCTAAGAGATTTACTCAACGAATCTACTCGTGCTTTTGCATGTTGGGCTTTCATGAAGGTAGCATGCGCTATGCGAAATTTCGGTTCAGAACGGTGGCTGGAACACACACTACGAATATCGTAACAGACGGACACACACAAAATACATAAACAACCCTTAGCCCGTTTCTTGATAGGAGTTTACTCTTGGGGCAACCTAATAGTTTTCAAAATTATCCGTCACTTTTACCGGTTTTTTTTCTGCAAAATTTGAGCTACAGAGCTGGGAGTTGGCATGTGGAGATAAGGCTGGTTCATACTGTTCCCGAACTTTCAGATCACTATGAACGCAGCCTAATCGAGCATGCTGATTACGAAAATATTAGTTTTTTGAAATTATCGATTACTTCTATCGATTTTATCGATTTTCTCCAATTTTTCTGCAAAATTTGTGTTACGGAGCTGGGAGTTGACACAGAGGGAGGGGTATTCGAGCATACCGATTACGACTATGATATTTTTCAAAATTATCAATTACTTCTACATTTTAAAGTTTTTCCTGCAAAGTTTGAGCTACGGGGTTGGGAGTTGGCACAGAGGGGTAAGTGAGCATGCTGATAACTAACAAAGCTGTAATGAAATTGGCCTATAGAAGTGGGTACAGAAGTAAGGTTGTAAAGAGATGGGAGCAAGACCTTTAGCGTAGTGTTTTGACAGCGCCAGGTCAGCCAGCTAGTTTCCGAAGATTTACAGAAACAGAGAAATGTTGAGGTTGAGGTTTAAGATTAGGCGTTACCGGTTTTTGTTAGGTATATAAAACACTTTGGCTTGGAATAATAATTTCAAGTGTAAACCAGGAACTTTTCAGTACAAAAGTACGGCCGGAGCGATTAATTTGAAAAAGTTTTTATCCGAATTACAGTATGTTGAAAAGCCTTATTTTGCTGAACCTTGCTAAAGCTGATATTACATATGTCCTGTACTGTCTCATTTGGACTGGCTTTGGATCAAGCTTGGTTGAGTGAAAAATTAAAAAAATGTTTTTCATTTGTCTTTTTCGGCATAATGCCTCTCATCTTTTCTGCATCAATATCTTATAAACCATATTTTGAAACGAAAATGTATCGAAGAGAGATAGATTTCGCAACTAACTGAGTTTTTCCCGTGGTTTTGGCAGCTGGCGCTCGGTTGAAACAGGATAAACATAAACAAAACAAAAATTTTTTCTCATCTTACCAAATATTACTCTATGTCACTCAAGATTTTCTTGGAAATTGTTTAAAACCGTCCCGGAGAGGGTCTAGAGCTCAAGACTTTGTCTAAGGGGAAAGACTAAACGGAGATGAGCATGTAAAAAAATTTCTTTTTTTGCTAAGCTTGAAATAAAAATTTCCTTGGGAAAAAAATTTCAGGCATTTTTTATGGAGCTCTCAACTTTGCCATAAATATGAGTTTTCTGTCGCGGGTTCAATACGCTATATTAGCACTTTTTCCATAGAATTGTGTCGAAACCATCTTCATGATACAACAAACTCTCAACTAAAATTTCCTTTTGCAAATCTGTCTTTTTACAAACACTTTTGATTGAAAGGCCTTATTATTATTATTTATTTATTTATTTATTCATACGCTCTATGGCGTTCCTTACAAAAAGAACAAGAAAAAAAATACACACACAGTAAATCGAACAACCCCAGTCAAGGTCCACCGTGCCGTTGGGTCCATACCTTTAAATTGGTTAAGAAGTATGTTTGATAGAGCTTGCATGTGACTGCTCTGGACTACAATTGTCATAAAGATGTGATCATGGAGATGGTACCCATGCCCCCATTACTGCCAGCAAAACGTCCCTGAGATAAACTATCTAACTCAGGATTGCATGGTGGATATACTTATTTACTTACTTTACTGATATACTATTTCTTTGCACTTGTCTTCACCAAACGTTGGGACTCATTCTTCTATTCCAAAACTAATTTTTTTCTGTCCATTAAGCTCTCTTAGGGCAAATTTTCCTTCCGCCATTCTTTCCAGATGCATGCATTCCATGTTAATTTGTGCGTATTGTATGAGCACTTTTACTTGGAATTTTTTAAAATTTAATAAATGCAACTGCTGCTTGCGAAACGCCTCAAATTGTTTGTTACATTCCCTAATTGGAACTTTACATCAAGTAGAAAGTGAAGCCTTCGTGGTCTTGGAGGTCGGCCAAAGCCTTTTTTGACAAAGAATAACAAAATTGAACAAATCTCACTTGCGCCTCACCCTTTTGCGCTTGCAAAGTAACATTTGAATACGTACAGTACCGCTACTTATCAAAACACATGAATAGTCATCTCTTGTAATTCTAAGCAATAATCATACGATCTGATTACCATAGTGACTAATAAAGCTAATTCATTTCGAAAAACTGAGTTGATTATGTTTCTAATAGAAATGACTAAATATTACGACAACTACATTTACTTACAAGAATATACAAATTTGTCCCACTTCATCCTTAAAGAATGTTTCTTCATGAAGGTTAATGTAGTATCATTTTTTGCATATCTCTATATTAATAAAACTCAAAATTGTCACATTGGAGGGTATGTACGCTATAGAAATGTGCGGCGTACAACCGATTTAGCCGAAACTTTTCAGATGATAGGCTACTTTTGGCGATTCACTGGTCCTTCTATCGATTTATTGATTTGTTTACCTACATCTAGGGAAACGAAAGCATATCAATCATTTTCCCAAGTTAAGTGATAAGGGGTGGTAGAGATATTTACATTTGCTCCGAGGGGAATGTGGTGACACGAAGCGAGGCGGTCAAGAAAAAAGGCAATTGGCAAAAAAGGCAATTTACTTCGTGTTCCACAAAATAGATTTCAAAAGCACTTATCTAGGTTTCTGGTAGAGTGCTTCTTCCCTGTGATTGAAATAATCATATCCACTGCAAATCCGCTTCATCAGGCTGCCTTTCAAGTAAATGTATTTTTTGAAACTCGAAAAGTTTCTCATATCTGTACGCCAGTGGATTTCGGCTTCAGGATTTCGGCTCGGGGAAGGGGGCGGCAAAAATTTCAGATGAAGGTGCATGGCGTCAGCCACGCACTCCAAAAAATTTTTTTGGGGGGGGGGGTTCTCAAAATTTTTGCGGGCCCCCAACCCCTAAAATCTGGAAAAAGGGGGCGTGGCTGAGCCCCGCCCGAGAAAATTTTTTTTATAAGGCTAATTTGAACTTTTAAAAAATTTTAAAAATTATTTCAATTGTTTACAAAAAAATAAGTCATTTGCATATTTTTATAGCTCATGTAAGTAACTTTCAAAAATTTCGCGACCCCCTCCCCCTGGTCCCCCCTCGGTACGCCACTGCTGTACGCTCATAACTCCTTCCAGGTTGTCACTTGACAGTTAGTAAACACTATCTAAAATCAGCTCTCTAGGACGAGTACGATGGTATCCAGCTTGTTTCGAACAGCTGAGTCAAGTTCTGACCATTTTCTCGTAAGCGTGTTTCTGATAAGAGTAAATAATGTGTTGGAATCATGATGGCTAACAGTCGAAAGGTCGAAACTTGGGGTTTTTCGAAAAATTCGATATTTCCATGTCTCATCTCTATTTATCAGCAACATGCTTAGCACTGTTGGGCTAGACGAACAGTACAACTTTGGAATGTTTTCGTTAATTTCCAAGAAAGAAAAATTATTTTCAAGAAAAGACGGTCGGCCATTGGGGATCATTAGGGAATCACACAAAAAAGCTAGAAATTGCGGCTTGTACTGCTTCTTGCCACAGTTCAATATGTTCATAGTGAAGGATGGTAGGAATGCTTACGGACTGTAGACAGTGTGAAATTTAAATATCTGCAGCTTCAACATTTGAAGCTTTCGTCTAAGCTGCGACTCCCCCCCCCCCCCTCTCCCTTCCCAGCCGTAATGTTGATGCATGTGGTCCTAAGACTGACCAGTTTTTAATAATACTTCGCATGCGCTAGAAAATTTTCCGTACTTTGGCTAGGAAAAACAAATTTTTACACACATCCTACAATATGTAAAATCTTTATTGGGAATTGCACAAGTTGATGCTCCTTAATTTTGTGTTGATGGATGAAGGTATACTTCTGCTCTATCTTCTAATATAGGTGGCACAATGACTGAAGCACGCGTTTTTCATGGTCTTTGCGTTGAATGTCTTCTTAATGGCATTCCTGGTCTTTGGGTCGAGTTCTTCAAAGGCAAGGGCTTCCTGAGAATATACACGTAAAGCAAAAATTAATCATACACATTAGTTGTGCAGATAACAACAATTTGTTTTTTTAGAAAGAATAGTCTCTTTAACTTCTTTAACTAACGAGGATAACTTCTTTCTTCCATAACTTCATCTTCTTGTAATTCTCACAAGGAATTGAACCTAGGTCACCGTGCCTTTGCACATAAGATGTATATAAAAATAGTCGTATCGTTTTAGGAAGTTGACCACAAATCTACGCTCGCTATCTACAAATCGGTTTTTTAAATGGAAGGAGTTTTGCAAATTTTTTAAAAAATTTATTCGATGGCAAAGTTGAGCTATTGCCGAAGGTTTATAGGAATTGCAATTTATTCTTTTCTTTTCTTCGCTATATCTATCAATTAGTCTGATTACAATAGCGAATCATCAAGGATGTCACTGACCTAGAACAGGCAACTGCCCTACAGCGATGGCTTCCGCTCGTGTCGAAGAATCATTAGAAAAGGTTTATAACTTTCTCAATGGCTTTGCTGGTAGCGAATGCAGATTTGAGATACATTTGATTCATCTGGCTTGGCATCGAAAAGGCGGGACTCCGTGACCTATTACGGCTAGCTAGTGATCAGAGAGCACCGGCGCGAGAGAGACGCAGGTGCGTCGCGGGCGCGAGCTGCCTTAATTACAAAGTCACAAAGCCCCGCTTTCGCGAAGCCAGGCCAGTTGAATCAAAGGTTACATGTCATAAAAAAGGCCATGGTGCTTTCGATTCCTTCCCTTCTCAGCATCCTTTTATCATGGTTAGCAATCTCTCGCCACTGTGTGACCGAAAACAAGATGAAATTCTGGCAGACAAAGGAAAAATGTGATTTCTATGAAAAACCGCTCATAATCTGTTGAAAAAGCATAAAACTCCACAGGGACTTTGCCGAAAGCAGCGACGCAGCGTCATATCTTGATAGAGTGAACGACTAAATCCAAGTGCAATGTCGACTCAGGTCAACGAGACGCATCATTTTTTGTGTGAATGTGCCTGTCTGGATACGGCAAATGTACGGTAGGGCATACTTTACTAACCTAGTTTTTGCTTGCGGTAGGTTACTCATAGTAGTCCAATTCAGTGTTGAGTAAACCTAGGCAAATCTACGAAATGTGACCGCCCGTCATCAGGGCTCGGCGCTGGTGCCCGACTTTTGAAAAATGTAAAAGACGAAGTGTTTACAAAGTCCTCTTTGACTCTAAAACTTCAAGCCACTTGTGGCGGGTCTTGCTCATCGATCTAAACTGGCACTGTATTTAAAGATGTACCACACCGGGCCAAGTATGCTCGACTTCACAAACTGCCCATATCGTTGTAGGCTGAATGCTCGCGAACGTCTTTGGCGCATAGCTAAATCAGTGGTCAGCGGGCTAGTATTGGCGCTTGATTATGATGTCGGCGGCAGCATGCGCCACGCTCGCAGACGTTCAGCCTATAGCGACATGGGCGGCTTTGTGCAGTAAAGTTTAGAATGTTGCTTTTGGATTCAGAATTTTTTACTGGAACCCAAGATATGGCGATGCGACGAGGTTAGTTGAAACGATGCTGTTTTCGACAAATTATGAGCGGTAATGTACTTTATATGACGTCACGCAAAAACGCACAAAATAAGGCTACCATTACTGATGTTCTCAACTTGTAGAAAATTGAAAATAGACTTGTTACTAAAGTTAGCTACATGGCTCTTCTCTTTGCAAAAAACTACTCTGCTTTGACTTCAACAAAAGTTAAAGGTTGGAAATCAAATAGAATGATGCTCACATTCTCCATTTTGCTCGCCGTTTCTTCACATGCTTTGACGCACTGCGATATTTCCCTCTTAAGGTTAACTGACGTCCGTCTTATCGGTGTGGCCGGAATAATACCGAAGAAGAAAAGGGGAAGAATGAATACAAGGTATTTCATTTTTTATAAAATGACAAACGCGATAGCTTATTTATACCATCAGTTCCATGATCAGATTCAAACCGATCAATGTATTTAGCATGTAGGCTAAATTATAGCGAATCATTGACGGTACGGCATACATGCTACCTTTTACAATACATTCGGGCTCACGCATTGCTTTTCCATTAAAGATGGGAAGAGAACAGTCTGAAAGCGTAGGATCTTTCAAATTCTACTTTTTGTCTTATACGGAGGGGGGGGGGAAATTCACTTACCGAAGTATATGAATTGTTCCACGTGAAGAAAATTGAACAGATGCTGCACTTATTCTATTAGTAAGATATGCAGGTCTCTAGTTGGATGCAGAACCAAATTTGACGAACCAAGCACGGCACTTGATACACTTCGCTTAATCTTCAAGGGCAGTAATACTTTTTATTTCTCACAAACCGTACTATCGATTATAAAGAGAGAGAGATAAGGACTGTTTACCTATGCGCACCTATGGCAGTAACTCTTACTCTACTCACTACATCAAATTGCAAGCAATCTTGCACCCAAATCGTTGCAAATCATAACATTTTTGCAATCATTTTTGAATTTCAGGTTTCGGAAAAGAAAAGCTATGCTCTTTTTATCGGCGCTCAAAGCTGAAATCATAGTTGTTATATAGCGACGATGAAAGCCGATAAAGGCAAATAAAACTGTGGTTTTTGAAACGGTCGCTGGAAAGCCAAGTGTCCAATAAATTCTAGTTTTATTTTTCGGCTTTGCTTTTACAGCATATCCCTTTATGGAAAACTCGATCACCAAGAAAATTCGTGATGACAGGATTCTTTCCGTAAATTGACCTTTGGACTCTGTCTCAAACAATCTAATACATACTCCAAAATTCTACATTTACAACACTTGAAAAGTAAGATATTATATGCAGAGTGTGGAAAGAGTACCGTCCCTCAAAATAAAAGAAATATGCATGGTTTACATTTTTGTAAGCGAGCTCGACATTATTCTGAAAATGAAATGTGAACACATTCTAGCATTTTACAAAGATTTAGATTAGAATTCAGACGAATTGCAGGCACAGTAATTCAGGCAGAGCAATGCAATTTTTCCATTCTTCGGAAAAAAATCTCGAAATATCATATGAAGGAAATCTGCTTCTGAGTAGCAACAATGCATGTTGAACAATAATTTACAACTTCATCACGTATTTAAGTCAATCTTGCTTTATTTTCGTGAGCAGACTTCCAAAATTAAGCTCATATCTACCCTGAAAAGTAAGTCACCGTTAATAAGGAGCTTTATTTTGTAGGAATTTGCTCAATATTAGGTGATTTTTATGATTTCATTAAGAAGATTCAGAAAGGTTCAAGTATGCTTAATAGAGGAATTCTCGGACTACAAAACGGTATTTTTAGATTCTCATCTATTCGGAGGTCTCAATTTTGGCGCAGCAAATACGCGAAAACTTTTGAAGTTTTTTGCGCAATGAAACATGATTCGTATCAGACATATGCATAACCATGTTTGATTTGAATGGAAAAGCAGCTTTTTGGAATTTTCGGTACTTCTCTAGTGAACGTAATCAGAAGCCGCGGTTTTTATTAAACAAATAATTATAACAGACTTGGTAAACGTGGCCCATGTAATTTAAATTGGGTACAATGTAGCCAAAGGTTTGCTTCACATCATAGTTACCAGCGCTCTTTGAAAACATCAGGATAAATATTTCCAAAATTCAAGGTATAGCGACTGCTGAGCTACTTAGAAAGCCATGGTGATAACATTGCCAAGACACATAGATCAGAGAGCAAATACAGCTGTAAAAAAGAGGATAAAAAGCTAAATCAAATGTTACTTAAGTCGTCTATGGGTTGATGTTCTTAAGTTTTAGTGAACGATTTAAAAACGGACAAAACTTTCGGGAAAATCTAATATGATTTCGTAAAATCTCCCTAACTGCGCTCAACAAAATTTCACTCTTGTTTTCCAGATACTTTGCTTTCTGGATGCATTTCTTAGAAGGCGACAAACCGCACGTCCATCACTCGGCTTTCGACCTCAATTGAATTTCGTCAATTGCAGCCAGTGCTCACTTTGTCTTCCTCTCGATTCCTCGAGTTGCTTTGTCGCTTAGAGGATCTGTCATTTAGTTGTGCCTCAGGGTAAGCAAGAATTTCTTTTTTTTGGCAAAGGACAAGTTTCTCTTTCAAATAGTGTAGATTCGTCTTTTTTTGCTTTATATGCGCCAAATACATCTAATTCTGGGTAGTTTGGGAGTAAACAACTCCATCTGCAGCCTGCTCGTATTCCATATGCAAATCGTTCTGTTTGACCACATAAGACTTTACGGAATTGACTCTCCCCAAAAAAAGTAAAACTACCTTATTCTACTCACTACCTCAAATTTGTACAAGCAACAATGATTTTTCTTCCCATTGCTGCAAACAGCCATAAGAAACAATCAACTGGAAGCTGCGTACCATAGTCATAAATAATGTGACCTAAGAATTTATATAAGCTTGTACATATTTGTAAGATTGCAATATAAATCTTACTTATTCCACCCCTTGTTTTCTTATCCCCATCCTAGGAATAATTCGTAAAGAGTTTAGCTTACTTCTGTCACACTTTCATTTATCAGGAAATCACAACTTTGGAGCATTTGGTTTTTTCGTCGAGGCGAATGGAAGAAAAATATGTAACTACTTGGAAATTTTGGGCATCTCATTTATTGAACAATTTTTGCCATTATGTACAAGAAGGAGATTATAAAGGAAGCTCTGTGCTTATCATTTCCAATGCCCATCCATGTGCATACAGGTTTCTTTTGAACAAGGAGACCTTTTTTAGACGAAGTAGCCTTTTCATATGAAACCTATACGACTTTATGGAGCACTGAACGTTGATTCCAAATCCGTCTTCCTTTTGCGGATCAGCCCTTCGAAAGAAGTATGAGTGTTTAAAAGTCTAAATTTGTCAAGCCTTAAGTGGCATTAGATTAGCGAAAAGTGTACAGAAATACGCGAATTTCCACAGGCCATGTTCCTTTTTTTGTATTCAGCATCATAGACAAAAAATTGGTTCGCCCACCTTCGGCTATTTTTGTGCTCTTCGCCAATTTCGTGGCACCCACACAAAGCCCAGCAGAGCTGGCGCTTTCACATGGAAGCCGTTTTTTTTTAGATAAAAGCAAAAGGGACTCGTAAACATCCTAGGTGTGGTCTCCCGAAATTCTGATAAATTATTAGCAAGCACAAAGCTAACCCTTATAAGTCCAACTCTGACATCGTTTCACCAGTAACAGGTAGTACACGTTACAAACACGATGAGCGTTTAGACCTGTGTGCACGCAATTTGACTTGCTACAACACAGTCTTTATGCATAAAAAAGATAATCAGTCCGCTTACAACCAGTAAGCAATAATGAGCCACCAAATTTGGTTGTACCTTAGCGGCGACGATCAAAAGGAAAGTATGAAGAATTATGAAAAAATTATGTAAATGAAAGGAGCTGTAAGTGCTTTTCTAAATTAGGTTGCTCCCGCGCAACCTGGGAGCACCTTGAGATTTCGCGGAACCAAACGAAGCCATAAGTTTTTCCCTTTTTTTGCATAAATCTGTTCTTCATCCGAACCTCTATCTACGAATACTTACCTTGCCCTAAATTTCTTTTTTGTGCCTTGTGACGGCCCTTAGATGATAGGAAGCCGCCCTTTCTCTCACGTGTTGCTGTTCTGTTTCCGATTTTCCTTGTCTTTTTTAAACTTTCATTCATTCGCTGAGGTTATTAGTCGTACTTCTACAAATACAGTAAAAGGTATTTCGTAATTTTCTGCAAAGTCAAAGGAGAATTCGGAGAATTTTGAAAATTCTCAAATGCCACCTCCTGCTGGGCCTGCACCTACAGCATGACAAATTTGGGATTTTGTACATTTATAAATTTTTTTGGAGAGTCGTTACGCAGAAACATAAGACGACTTGAAATTATCGTTCAAAGCTCTACAAAATGCTATAGTTTGATGTGATACAAAGTGATATAAGTTTGATGTGAAAGTGCTACTTCGACTACAAAAGGTTCCCTTGTAACCTGAGAGACCCTCTTCTTTGTTTTCCATCGTTACCCATACCATATGTATCATGCATTGACCATTATTCTCATTCGATGCAGACGCAAAGCAGCTGACGGTACATATATCTGCATTTGATGTTGATGTTGTCACACTTGCAAAAAACATGTTTTTTTGTTTAATCGGTAGGCAGTCCATGTTTCAGTACTAATAAAGCAAGAATACTGATGTGAAACTTGAGATCGAGCAAACCCTAAGTTTTTTGCAAGTTCACAAAAGCAAAGTACAAATGCTAATTGCAAACTTGCTACATTTTCATAGAACCAATGAATTAGTAAACGTGAAGGTGCTAGCTATGCAGGCGCTTTCGCTGCAAAAGCCGCGCGGTTTCTCACAATTTCACCTTTTTCGAATAGACACAACGATTCCTTACATATAGATAGATGGAGAAAAATGTGCAGACTTTGCAAGTTCAAACGCTTGTTCGGACTCCTACATATGCGTTATTCTTGAACGGGGTTTTTTCTGTTTTCCAGATGAAGTGTAGCTTCAATTCGTTACACTTCTTACAAAACCTCCGTTATCTTGAGTAGTAAATTTACAGTAAATTTACAATTTAATTTCGAAATGCACCGATAAAATATTTGGCCTCATAACTTAAAGAATACAAAAAGGAATCCAAAATTCTTGTGCCTGGAAAGCAGACTTCCGTTATTTACGGACTCTACCCCTTGACTGAACTGGCTCGGCGGATGGAAGGTGGGGCTTTGTGACCTACTCAAGGCTAGAGGATGATCAGAGAGCATGCGCGCGAGAGAGACGCCGAATGCGTCGCGGGCGCAGTCGGCGTCTCTCTCGAAGGATCTCGTGGTTTATACTGCGCGATACTTCGCCTTTTCCTACCCCCCCCCCTCCCATCCTCGTCCACCCGTAGAAAATTCTGACTTCCCTTTGAGCGAAGACATGCTCGAGTTCTG